ATTGACAAGGGCAGGATTTCCCTTTCTCCTTACACCACTGAAGTTCATTCTAGGGATGTGTACAAATCCAGAGGGAAAATTGGACTAATTATATACCAGTACAGGAAACTTTTATTTAGACATTGCAAAGATAAAAAGGGACAAATGTCTAAAGAAAACCCCTAGATAAAGGGTAGAATGAATAAAAACAACCCAAACCAACCCAGCTGAGGGTTTTTTGGTGGGGCTGCAATGCCCACATGCAGCCCCTGTCCAGCAGAGCTGAGGCTGTGCCCTCTAATGCTGGCCACAGAACTGAGCTGAGGCCCCACAGCTGAGCCTGTGCTCTTCCAGACCTCTGAAGAAACCTCTTCATTCCCAAGGCAGAGCTATTCTCAAACCAAAAGGCTGCTAAAATAACTCCATCAACCTCCCTCCTATGGAAAAAAGCTCTAGGGCAGAATTTCCACTCTCATTTTGAATTTCCTGCCTTTGGAAGATGCCTTCCTTTTAATACTAAAAATGTCTCAGAATCTGGTATTAATAATCTTGTGGGGTTTTTAGTAAAAAAAAACCCAAACAAAAAACCAAATGAACCACCCAACAATATATACATTGCTTCTGTAATGAAAAACAACCACTTCTCAAATTAGCATCTATGTAGGATAGGTAATCTTCCCTACATCAGTTTAAAAGGCTGAAACTGATATTCAATTACTGTATTTTTAAGGGTATATTTTTTTGCCCTGTCAAATAAGGAGCACAGGCAAGATACTAATCACTCCACTCATACAGCTGCTGTTTGTAAGTCACAGATTTGTGACTTTTCATTACAGTATGATTTGCAAATTTTTATGACCTACAAAAAATTAGGGCTATTTTTACCACTAATTATTTTTATTTACATGGTAAAATTGCTTTATTATTTGACTGTAGTTTACATCTAGGGGTACTAACCCACTTGTAGCCTAATCTAATAGTTTTATTCCTAGTGATTGGGGAAGGTGAGATTACTGAGAGGCAACAAATCAGTGGAAGCCTGCAAACAATTCCTGTGATACTGGTGTATTCCCTGTGCTTACCCTTCAGCCTTTCTCCATTTCACACCAATTTGTGAGGTGGTCCATGAGGCTGTAGAATTCTGCAGAACAATCTTGAGCTACTTATAATTCCTCCTGACATTGTTAAGATTTACCTGATCAATACAATATTTTCCTCTAGTATTTTCTTCTTCAATTTGGTTTGCCTGACACCAAGCTTCTTTTTTGGCTGCAAGACATTAAAAGAGATATTTTACAGGCAAGTGAGAACAGTTGATCCCAGCCCCCACTCCTGCCTCATCCCCATACATGTCTTATTCAGGAAAACCAAGAGAAAAGCAAAAGCTGATTACAGAAATAAGTAAAGGTGAATGCCTGGACTCCGTCTAAGGATTAATAATAATAATTTAAAAAACAGCCAAAGAGAAGGGAAAATTCAAATTAATTACTCTAAACTGACAGCTTTAGTGGCATTGGCTTCTTTGATTTTCACTTGATTTCAATTCTTCCTCTTCATGCTTCATTTCCCATCATTTCCCAGATGTTCTATTGCTTGTGCTGTCTGTTGCTCTCTCCAGCTGCTCCCTGACTACTGTAACTTCCAGCATTTTTCTGGTTTTGCAGCAGATTCTTCCATAGCCACATACTACTAATATATTTTATTATTCTGTCCTCCTCCTCTGATATTTTTTCCGCCTTCTTGTCAGCAAAAGTTCACTTTGTGGTCCTGGTGAGCAGAATCCCAAGTGGTTTAGCACACACAGCCTATCAAATCTACTCCTCAAACAAAACCACTGCTTTAAAATTTAGGAACATGGTGCTGTCAACAAGAGCAGAAGGGTCTCATACAGTCTATTTACCTTTGCATGCCAACAGGATAGGACCCATTAAAAATTCATGTTGGGAACAAAAGCCTAACTGCAAAGAAAGTCCTTGTTCCTTGTTCCCTTACCCACTATCAGAGCTACACACCAGCCTGCTGTGCTCTGTCCCATGATCCTTCTCTTCTCTTCTCTTCTCTTCTCTTCTCTTCTCTTCTCTTCTCTTCTCTTCTCTTCTCTTCTCTTCTCTTCTCTTCTCTTCTCTTCTCTTCTCTTCTCTTCTCTTCTCTTCTCTTCTCTTCTCTTCTCTTCTCTTCTCTTCTCTTCTCTTCTCTTCTCTTCTCCATTTGCTGTGATATCAAGTTTCATTACATGTATTTACTCTGTCATTCCAGCAATTGATTCTTTCCCTAGAATTTGCTTTGTCTGAAAGTGTACCCCTTTTTCTCTATATTCCTGTGCATACCTTGGGGGGTCAATGGAGACACTTAATTAAGCAGGGCTCAGCCTTTAATAAACTAAACATCCTTTCCTACAAGGATTGAGTAATTGCTGAGTTAGTGTAAAGATTCACCAAGCAGGAATTTATTTTTTACTAGAAGTTGGTTTAGCCTAAACTGTATTTCTGAAATGTATCTCACTCTACCAAGACAAGAGAAGATGTTACAATCTCATAAATATTGCATGCTCAGGCATCCCTTTGATTTCTCACAGGGAGGCAGTATGCAGCAATTGCTCTGCCTCCTGAAGCCTGGTGTGTAGTCTGGGTATGAGGTACATGAATTCCCCAGACACAATCCAGTTTTCTCCAGTGGCTTTTCATTCACAGCTTAAACTCTGCAAAATGATAAGACAACAAATCAGCAGTTGCTCCTCATTCATTTTCACGTTGCTAACATTGAGATGGGGAAGTGTGTATCACCCATGGGAAGAAATGTCCTCAAATTCCTGGGGTCTTAGGGAAGCTGGTGAGAAGGGAAGGAGCTGTTGGTAAATTCTTCATTCCAGTGCTGTGGTGAGGGCCTGGGCCTGCAGAGAGGGCAGGCTGCACCACAGTTTGCTGTCTCCAATGTTAGCTACACTGAGGTTAACAGGGTACCAAGGGAATCATATATCTGGGCTGACCAGGGCAGGCTCTCAAAGTCAGGGTCTCGCCCTTGTGTCCCAACAAAGGTCGTTTTCCTTGAGATGCTATTTTTATCCAGAAGTTTAAAAAGAGATTTTCTCCTCAACTCCCTCCACCCCTGTGTGGCCCTGGGAACTCTGATATTCCCAGCACCACAGCAGGAGAGGAGCCTGTTCCTGGCATCAGATTTCATGCATGGCTGTAGGGAAGCAGTAAAGTGTTCCTGGCAGATAAACCCTGAGTGGGGGAAGAGGCTTCTTTCCTTCTTTCTTTTCTTCTTAATCCAGTTATTATCTGATCTGTATCATTTAAATAATTATATATGTTCTTGCTTCTACCAACTCTGGAGCTGGCTTGTGATAGCTCTTTAATTCCACCCATTCATACTTAAGATAGTAACTGGCCTAGCAAATGGTACAGCTCCAGGTACAGCTCCCAGGGCTCTGGCTTAAGAGCCATCTGACCTAAATCTCACTCATTATAAACAAACAGAAATGTTGGTTTTGTTCATTTTTTTTTTCCCAAACAACAACAGTTACAGGAACATGTAATTTTGCTTTTGCCATTTATAACTAACACCCCCCCTAGGCATTTAATATAAATGACACTGAAAGATGAGTAAAATAAAATACAGTTTTGATTTCCTTTTTATTTTTATATGGCCCATCACTGAGGTTTTGCATTTATTGTTATTAGCGTTAGCATGTGTTTCTTTCCTTTCTTCAACCTTTGTTCACAGATTTACACTTGATGAGCATGTTGCTTCACTTCAAAAATAAGGTTAATAGCTGCCTCTTCTTAGAAAGGCTTGAGACCTCTAAGCATATGCAGGCATGTAAAAATGAAAGGAGCTGATGAAATGTAAAAGGCATGAATCTGTGCTCAATCAATGCTAACCACTTAGCAGTATTAAATGACAAAATTCTCTATTGGGATAGCTCCCCTTAAAGCTGGGGAGCTATTTTGGCTTCAGGGAGCCTTGCTGTGACAATTTTTATAAGCAAGTATCGTATACCACCAAACAGATCTCACATTACAGAGTAGCAGCACATGTATTGCATATAGTCTATAGTGACATAATGATTTATGTGAGTATAAATCGTATGCTGTGTTTATAAATGGCCTTTACCCTGAATGAGGCTGCAAAGCTTGGGCACTTCTCTGGGCTAGTATCGGAGCAATCTCCCCGGCATGGCTTCAAAGCCTGAAGAGGTGCACATTAAACGCAAACAGCGAAGTTTGGTATTGGGATCCGAGAGAGCTGTTCGGACGGGGATGCCCAGGAGGCAGCACGGCTCCACCATGTCCTCCTGTCTCTGAAATTCTGCGCGAGCAGCCGCCCCCGGCCCCGGGCTGTCTCCGCTGTTCCCCCGCCCGCGGCTGAGCCGCTCCTGTGCCCGATCCCGGTGCCGGGGCTGCGGGAGCGCTGCGGCCGCACCAGCCCAGCGGGGCGGCGGCGGAGCCGGAGCGGAGCCCCCGCGGGAGGGCAGCGGGCAAGGGGCGGCCGTGCCTCCGCCCGGGGCCACCGCGGGGCTGCCCCGCTGCCCGCCCAGCCCGGCCCTGCCCAGCCGAGGGTGCGGCAGCACCGCCCGCCCCTCCATCCATCCTTTCATCCATCCACGCATCCATGCATCCTCCAGCCATCCAGCCAGCCATCCATCCAGCCATCCAGCCAGCCGCCCAGCGCCCTCCCGCCGCTCTCCCTCTCTCCGGGAGCAGCCCGAGCGCACCGTGCGGTGGAGCCACCGCGCTTCGGCTCCGCGGGGCCGCCGCGCCCGGCCGCGGCTGGAGGATGCGTGTGCGGGGCTGGCGACCTGGCATCGCGTCGGTGCTTGGATCCTCCCTCCTCCCTCTCCTCCTCCTCCTCCTCCTCCTCCTCCCCTCCCTCCCGCTCGCCGCCTGGCAGCGCGGGGCTGGGGAAGTTGCGCTTACACGAGAGATGGCTTCGCAGCGGGGATCGCTTTGAGGAAAGGTCTCCCCCTCCCTCGCCTCCCCCCGGCGCCGCGGCCTCCGAACTGTAAGTGGCAGGAAGGAAGTAAAGTTGCAAACAACCTGCCGCGGCAGGAACTTTGTGAGCTGCTCCAGCTGCATGTGCTCAAGGTGCCTTTGATGTACGTGCAGCAGCTTCTGGAAAGTGGACTGCAGCTTTCCCACCCGCCAGCCCTCCCTCTCCCCAACCCTTCCCAGCCTCCCCTCCCACCACCGCCACTTCAGCCCGCACACGCAATTTGTTTGAGAAGAAAAAAAAAAAAAAAGTGATGAACGAGAAGTGGTGAATTACCCAAGCGACTTTCCTCAAAGAGCGAGCGAGCCGGGGAGAGGAGCCGGGGCGAGCCCCGCGCTCGCAGCGCCGGGAGGGACCCGCGGGGCTGCCGGGCTGCGAACGCGGCTCCGCAGCGAGATGCAAAAAGCCTCATCTGCTTGCGTTTGACTTGCGATGCCGGCTCCTCACTAGAATGCAAACCCTTGCACAGGATGAAAACAGGTTTGTGGCACATTCTCTTGGAAATGTTTCGCTCCCCGCCGCCGCCGCCACCTTCCTGTCTGAGATGTCAGAGAAGATCTTAATGATGACACGGTGGCAGATACCTCTGCTGTGTACCCACCACTGTTCTTTGGAGATGCTCCGCCAGAGATAAATCTTTTATGCAGCTGTCTTTTCATATCTGTAGCGATTGCTGCATAATTTGCTCTTGATTGCAGTTAAAATATTCTCTTTAGGATCCGCTTCACAAAATGATGCAAAATAAACTCAGATGGGAGAAGTGTAGAATAGAAAGCCATAAATGAAGTACTGATGGTGGACTGCTCTTCCCTTCTTCTTGTTCCCTCCCCCGCTTAATGTTCTACCTCTAAATGTGAGCCTTTTCTGAACAAAAACATTTGCTACATTTCTGTTTTAAAGCAGTGATTTTGGGGGCTCTTTGGCTGTTGTTTTGGGAGCAGCCTCCCATCAGTGGTACTTGCCTTACTGATTGACTTTCTTGAGTGTCTGTGGCTGCCAAGCCCATCAGCTTTTATCTTGTTTCCACCTGTTTTAAAGTATGTCTTGTTTCTTCTAACACCTTGCAGGTCATTCTTCCAGAATGCCAGAGGAAAGTTCACCAAAGCGGAGTCCTCAAAACATCCCATACAAGGATCTGCCCCATATCATCAATGCTGATGGGCAGTACCTCTTCTGCAGGTATTGGAAGCCAGAAGCATCTCCCAGGTGAGCACTTTCAAGCAAATGTCCTTTCTACTATCACTAGATATGACTCTGTTAATGCAATTATTATTTATAGCTTGACTGGCATTACTGGGTCGTGTGCACGGAGCTTTATAGAGCCCCTAAGAGAGTTTTCTGTCAGCTGAGAAAGTCCCTACTGTAAAAATTACATTCTCCAAACCTTAACTTGCTTGAGTCAGCCTTGCAGGTATAAAACGTGGAGCTGCTGTCATTCCATGCACAGCTGGCTTGGTTGGCAGTTCAATATTCTACCAAGTGGCTCTGGCAGGTGGCTGATGCCTATCAGCAGTAAACAGCTATCCCCAAACTAATCGCACTGGCAGTCAGGGAGGGCACGGATACAGGCTTTGGAATGTTCCATCATGCTGATTTTCTCAGTGTCAACAAACTTAACATCAGCATCTGAGTTCAGTTTCAGTAGTAATAGCAGGGCAACAGGCAGAATGTTTGACTGCATTGCTTTTTGACTGGTTTTAAATTATTTATACTTAGTAAATGATTCAGGGAGCTCTCTCACTGGCAATCGCAATTTCAAAGCTGACCTGTGTAATAAACACAGACAAAGGATCAGATAGAGAATTTTTTCTAATATTTTGTCATAATTAAAATAATCTCTTTAATAGCTTTCTATGCTAATTATGATCTGATGTGGCTCCTGTAGTTATGATCTTTCTTCTTCCAGTATCTGCTGGCTTGGCATGTATTTGTGCTGCCACTAGTTATTTAGGTATCTACTTCATAAAAGTCTGGATGTTGCTTAATTATTTACTTTTTCTGCAAGCCAACAGGAAGAGCTGTGTTGGTTTTATATAGCTAGAAAACAGTCACAGGAACAAGTTGTTCAATCTGTAGTAGGGAGTTGAACTTTATCCTGACAACCCGACAGGTGAGACACCATCCTCTACCCAAACCAGCCTGGCAACTGCTCTGAGAGAGGGATACAGGTCCAGGTTAACTGGCCTTGGGGTTCATGCCTACAAAGTGGGAATAACATAGGGCTGGGTTAGGACTCAGGTAATAAAGAGGGTGGGCAAGCACCAAAATATACTGGCCCCAGAGGGGAGGACAGTGCAGACACCCCACCATAGCTCCATGGCCCAGGCTGGGCTGTAGGACAGAGTTCTGGTTCAAGATCTCCTGGTCTACAGAGCATTTTATAGTTGCTTCTACTCGCTGCCTTTCAGAAACAAGGAGGAAGGGTTTTGGCACTGATGCATTACATAGTCTTTGCACCAACCTGAAAATTGCCTTTATGGAAAAATAATGCTATGAAATCAAGTTTCTAATGTGAAACCAGGCTATTTTGTATTATAATGGTAATTAATCATTAACTACCCATAACATTCGTCACCCAGTTGTGGAACTGCTTTTTTATCACTTTTAATTTCTTACCAAATTAGTGGTGGGTGGATGGATCTTTGTTCCAGAAATGATAAGGAGCTGAGAGTGAAAACTTGGTGTCTAAGTCCTCTGGGTAGTTAATTTTTTTCAGTGGTCTGTGCACCAAGCAGTTAATTAAGAGTGAACTTGTCCTAGTTTTGTGACAAGAAAAATGGATGGGATCAGTGTTGCTCATTTACAAGAGCTCCTGTGTGTGTGTTTGCATGTTTGTGTATAAGAAGGGGGCGTATTGTTTATTATTAGCTCTTCATGAATTGTTATATATGAGAGATGGTAAGTGACTGAATAACAAGTCAGTGCCTGGATCCTGTGATCAAGATTGCTCTTGAAGTGCTTTGATAGGCAAACCAAAAATACATTATTTTGCCCCCTTTCACTTTACATAAGAAGCTCTGCTTTTTCTTCTTCCTGTGAAGAAGCTCAGCAACTTTCATCTAATTTTAAGCATTCAGCAGAACTGATCTCTCTCTATATATATGTATAGGGAGAGAAAGAGAGACACCTCAGGGGACTTTTACAGGCCTGTTGCAATTTATTTCAAATACTGAAAGCAATTCTTTCAATCTTCTAACTCAATTGTTGATTCAGGTTCAAATCTTAACGCTAATGAATGATGCTATAACCGTCAAATGGTGAGATCTTTCATTGATCCATTATGTGCCTAATCCCAGCTAGAGCTGTGGAAATACCTCTTCACTGCAGATGCCCAAAGATTATCATTGACTTGTCTTCTATTAGAATAGAACTTATCGCCCTTGATCCCTCCCCCAGGGAGGGGGAAAGCCCAGGATGTCTGCCAAAGGAAATATTAAAAAGTAGCTCTAGCCTGGGCTTGAAGAGCAGACAATGGCCAGGCAGTCTCTGAAAGTGGGGATGACTGACAGACACCACCCTTTGGAGCTGGTGCTTCTTTTTTATCTCGTTGAACAGACTCATAAATGTGGATAAAAGTCTGTAGCAGATTAATGTGTTATAGCACATTAAAAAAAAAACAAAAACAAAAACAACCACAAAAAACCTATTTTTTCAGGAAGATTGAGAAATTTTGAGAGGCGTTACTGCTTCATGCTCACAAATACCCAGGCTCTGATCCTGTGTGGTGTTGATCTGACTGATCAGCCCATACTGGTGCACATATGGAAGCTTTGTTATAAGTGCCACTGAGGCCAAGGTTGTCCTGCCAGTGAAAGGCACCTATTGTGAGTTCCTCAGCAGGGTCTGCTTTGTTTCAGAGAGGGATTTAGGTGATTACTTCACAGGAAGCTGACACACAAAGGCACTCAGATGTCATAATGATTAGATGGGGTAGATGGAGTAAGGAGTAATGGGACTAAGGAAGAAGAAAGACAGTGTTTTCCACTTGTTTTTGGCGTGGGAAGTCACTCCCAACAGCAGAGCTGGGCCCTGGGTGTCATCTTCTCTTGCTACCTGCTGGCAGCAGTGCAGGTGCAGCTTCCCTGGCCAGCAGCCCTGCAGGCTGCCCAACTTGTTGAGCCAGTTCCATCTTAAAGTGTAATTAGGTGGTCTCTCCTTGCTGAATGCAGCAGGGAAGAAAAAGCAGTGTGTTCTGGTGTTGTTTTCATGTTTTGTGCCAACAGCAGAACTTGTGGACCATGGAAATGGACAACTCTTTGTCACCAAGTGCTCACTGCTGAATGCAACACTTAGGATCTGGGCGAGGCATGGCACTTTCAGGTCTTTGTAATGTTGTTTGAAGGAATTAAGTCATTAGAACCAAACAGGACTGATCTCATGCCTATAGTATGTCCCAGTAGCCAAAGAAACCCTACTTAATGGGAAAGCAGTCACTGTGTAAACATAAGCAAGGCTTAAACCTCTGTCACCACCCTGAGCACTCTGAGACAAAATATGAGGTAACAGGAGGTGGGGAATTAAGAAACCAAGTTCTATTCCCAGCTCTCAGACAAAGCTGCTAAGAATAGACGCTGGTGAGGAAGGGGAAGGAGAGTTGGGAGGAGAAGACATTTCCTTTGAGGCCCCTGAAGGGCCTGGGGAACTTCAGAGGTGACCTTCTTCCTCTGTGGTCTATATCCCTGTAGCCTTTTCTAGATGCTTCCTCCATTCTTGTCACTACCTAGATAAGCACAAATAGTATTTTGTAGGGCACTTTTAGCCCCTCTTCTTGACCTCAAGTAAGTCCTGTGAGATTTATTGACTCAGAGTAATTTTTTCAAAGGTGCTCATAGCTGTAGCTGCCACTGACTTCAGACAGAATGATACCCACGTCTCTCCTGGCAGATCAGTCACTTTAAGCTGAGACACTTGAAGTTAGAGGATGCATGTGAAAATGTGATTTCCAGACATGTGTGAATGTGAGGCTCCTCAGTCACCGAAGAGAAGCCATCACCTGGCAAGTTAGCATGGTGCTTGAGTGTCTCTCACAGGGTGGTCTCCAGGTGGACTCAGAGGATGCCCTGTGGCTCTGCCTGTGGGTCACAGAGCATTCCTGGGCCATTGTTAACTTACACTGCAATGGGTTGGCTCAACTTCAGACATGGTGAGCACAGTTTAAGTAAACAGAGCTGCAATTGTCTGAGTAAACAGTGCCTTTCTAAGAGTTCTTTCAGTTCTACACCTGAGATGTGTTTAAAAATACAAAATTGAACAAACAAAAGGCACCCACTTCTCTATTTACTTTTTACAATTTCTTTTACTCTTTGAAGAACACCTGCCATTCTTTCTGACTTGTTAGTAATGCAAGGCCAAGCCAATAAGGAGAAAACAGATTTCTCTGTTCCCCAAAGATTTTGCAGATGTGCCTGTGGTACAGAAATATAAATTGCTTTTGTATTTGAACTGGCCCTTAGATTGTAAATATTGCTTGATGATTTTGGCATGTCATTTGGCATGTCATTACCAGCACTTCCATTTACAGAAGAACAGCGCAGCTCCCAGCATGAGCAAATGACAAAATTGAATTTGACTTTCAGACCTTTCCAAAGTGAATGAATAAATAAATAAATAAGGCAAAGTGAAGTCAGAGGAAAAGAAATCAAGTCACTGATTATAATATCTTTAATTATAGTGTATTGTGTTAGTCTCTAGAAATATTTCAAGCAGTTTCTAATTCAGCATCATTCTTGAAAAACACTTTGTTTGTACTAATGAGGTCAACTCAAAATTAAAGCCAAATCTGTAGGATGCAAAGTGACTTATGTCAGCACAGTTTGCTGTAGGATGAATTCAGCTCCCTCTGTTTTTCTGATCCCATTGCACACACTGCAAAGGGAAATGACAATGATCATTGTCAAATCAACATTCCAGGCTTTGCTTGCTGTATTGCTACTGCCTGAGTTTCTAAAGCATCCCTTCTTCTCATCAGCTGTGTATGTGTTCCTTTAATGCCTCTGTTATCTCTGCTCCATGTGACTGTCTTATTCACTGTGAATGGGGGCATCCTTTTATGATTCCTTATGTGGTTCCAGAGGATGGGCAAATTAGCAAACCAGCTTTGTGTGAGAGGGACTCTGACAGACAGGGGAGCTGCTTTGGTTCTCACTGCAGATACTTCCAACAGGCTTCTTCAGTATCATAATTTTTTTTCAGTCTCCACAGGAATG